GAGAGAGAGAGAGCACATGAGAGGGGGGAGGGTCAGAGGGAGAAGCAGACTCCCTGCCAAGCAGGGAGCCCGATACGGGACTCGATCCTGGCACTCCAGGATCATGACCTGAGCCGAAGGCAGTCGCTTAACCAACTGAGCCACCCAGGCGCCCGGGACGTAGTAATCTATAAATAAGCTGGCCTCCAAACAACAGAGACCTGGGCTTTACTCTAAGTTCTGCAGCGATTATTTTATGAACTTAAAGATACCAGGCTTCTGTCAACCTCTCTCATTCCAGTTATGAAACGAGGGTTGCAATTCCTTTAGATACCCCACCTCCCACCCAAACTTAACTATTTACTAGGCGTTAGAAGAGACCTTTTTTTTTTGCTTAGCCAGAGTCTGTGAATGCCAAGGTATTTGCATAGGTGGAAAAATTAGGTGTCATATAAATATAACTCAAACTCTGGCCTGTCATATAAATATAACTCAAACTCTGGCCTGTCATATAAATATAACCCAAACTCTGGCCTCTCATTTTCAGGATTTCCTCCTTTTGAGGGTATTGGGCTGGGGCTAGAAGAAAGGCGTTAGGGACTGCTGGGGGCTGTCCCCTGCTCATTTTGTGCCTGGCCACCTCCCAGGGTGCGGCGACTGCCTTCTTCTCTCAAATAATGGAGCTGCTACCACACAGGACTGGCAGGAAGTAAAGCCAGCAACTTGCAATCTTCTATCTATGGCTCCCATGTAAGTGTAAGCCCCTGATTCAATTTCCCACAATGCCGCTACCTAAGACCAGGCCATTTAAAACCTTGAGGGAAGCAAAAGAAAAGACAACACAGAAAACCTTATGACTGGTTACTGGGTTTGAACGATTCCTGACTCATAGCTAGGTCATCCCAGAAGGGGTCCCCTACTGGACACTATCTGGCCCGGCTCCTGGCCCATGAGAGGCTCTTACCTACCTGCTCCCCACATGGGGGGAGCTCAGCCCTCATCCCAGATCTGCTCCCTCCCTCTGCTTCAGCCTCTAGTGCTCATGACCCCTTCTTCTCACCCTGGGATGACTGACAGACGGGAATATCCCCACGGAGTCTCAACCACTAACCACAGGGGTTGGCCTTTTTAGATAGTTGGAAGGACAATCTCTCAATAATTCATTTTCCTTGGGCGCCTGGGTGGCTCAGTTGGTTAAGCGACTGCCTTCGGCTCAGGTCATGATCCTGGAGTCCCAGGATCGAGTCCCACATCGGGTTCCCTGCTCAGCAGGGAGTCTGCTTCTCCCTCTGACCCTCCTCCCTCTCATGCTCTCTGTCTCTCATTGTCTCTCTCGCAAATAAATAAAATCTTAAAAAAAAAAAATTAAAAAAAACAATTCATTTTCCTAAATCTGAGATATTTGGTTTGGAAAATCACCTTGGGGAGGCTTTCCCCATGAGTCCAAGCTGGCTGTAGCCCTTGGCCCAAGCTTTATGGTAACCATGAAATGGGCATGAGGTCAGGTTTCCGATGATCTTCCTCACATGGGCCGGTCTCCATCTTGAGATGTCCCCATGACAACTGTTGAACAATGACACCTATAACACACTTTTCAGGAATAAAAAATACTTCCCAAGAGATAGAGTACTGTGGTCTGAATGATTGTGTCCCCCCATAAATTCATATGGTTGAAATCCTACTCCTGAAGGAAATGGTGTCAGGAGGTAGGGCCTTTGGGGCCTGGCGGTGGGGGAAGAGTGGGTCGTGAAGGTGGAAGCCTTATCAAAGAGACCCTAGGGAGCTAGCTCGCCCCTTCCACCACGTGGGGACATGGTAAAAAGGTGCCATCTACGAACCAAGAAGCCCTCACTGTACACGGCATTTTCCAATGCCATGGTCCTGGACTTGCAGCCTCCAGAACTGTGAGAAAGACAATTTTGTTGTTTATAAGCCCTTCAGTCTGTGGTAATTTGTTACAGCAACCCAAACAGACCAAGACAGAGGATTCTCAGTCCATAGTGGAAAAGAAACATTTTTTCCCCGACACACCAGCAAAACATATTATAAAACAAGAGCAGTTAAAACTGTTAACTTGGTATGGAAAAGACAGGCCAAGCCATGGAACAGAAAAGAGAGCTCAGAAACAGACCCATGTATTTGGGAAGTGAGTGTATGACTGATCTCTATGGAAAGAAAGGCTAAGCTATTCAATATATGCCTGGGGAAAACTGGTAACTGGGAAAAGATCAAAAGTTAAATTTTTACCTCAGATCATTAACCATAAATATCTAAGAGCTAAATGTAAAAACAAAAACCTGTAAAGCATAAAGAAAAAATATAAGAAAAAATTCTGTGACCTTGGGGGAAGAGGTCTTCTTAAGCAAGACACAAAACACAAAAAGCCTCAAGGAAAAATCTAATACACCTGACTACAACCAAATGGAAAAAAAAAGTGTATAGAAAAGATGCCACACACGAGGTTAAAAGAAGACAAGCATCAAGCTGGAAAATTACATTATTTTCAAACAGACAAAAGCTCTCAATCTAGAATGTATAGAGAATTCCTAAGAATCAATAAAAAGATCTGAAAATGCCAATAAGAAATCATCAAAAGGTACCAACAGCAATTTGCAGAGTAAAAATACAATGGACATAAGAACGAATGCTCAAAAATATACCAGAAATGAGGGAAGTGCAAATTAAACAAGATATGTTTTTACCCTAATATTGGCAAAATTAAAATGTCTGAAAACGTTGGGTAGGAATTAGGGCGTGAGGCAATGGGCCCATTCCTACGCTGCTAGTGGGAGCATGAATCAGTCAGCTACTTCAGAAGACAATTTGGCAGAACTATGAAAATTTAAAATGCGCATACCCAGCAATTCTACTTTGGGGTAGAAATACTCCCTCATGCCCAGGAAGCAGATCTAAAAATAAAGATGTTGACCACTCTGTTTTTTGTAAAACCAGAAACCTCAATGTCTATCACTAGGACAATAGACAGACTCCAGACCATTATATGGAATAGTATGCAGCAGTTTAAAAGAAGAAGGTATTTCTGCTTATAATGACATGCAATCGCATGTGTGAAAAAAGAAAATTGCTGCAGAAAAATATCCACAAAATGGTCTGTTGCACTGTCAATCCTGTTTATGCTCATGCAAGGCTCCTTTCTCAACCAGGGATAAAACACATCTCTCTACAAAATGACGCTGCTCATGTTTAAAAGAAAATAAGAACACACATGTGGCAATATCTATGCCTGTGATGATAAATATAGATAGTAGGTAAATGTATAGAGAATGGTTTGGAAAACTGCCTTCAGAGTTGGGGGCATGGGAGGATCTGGGGGCAGGGACGTGTCCACGTTTGAAGGAAATACTCAAAGGGAATTTTCTCCTTATCACTACCGTTTCACTATCTCATGGGAACACATTCATACGTAACCTTTAGAATATAATATTAAATTGCTTTTTACAAAAGACAATAAACTGTTTTTGGAGGGAGGAAGTCATTTGCAGAGACCCCACTTGGCTTACTATTAGGACAACTATTTTCATTGCCGTGCAAAAGCAGTTTTGCCTCCAAGCACATGGGATTTTGCAGTTCCTTGGCAGAACAGAAAAGTCTTAAAGGGCCTTCTCCAGAACAAAGGGATATGCACCCTACCCTGAAGTCCACATCAGATGAAGTTTCAGGCAGAAGACTGCTGACACAAGTCTCCACCAACTGATGCGGGACAGCAGGCCCACAGGAAGGAACAGGAGCTTGGGTTTCCTTTCTAAGTAGAAGGATGGTCAGAAGCAACCACAGGAGCCCTCCTAGCATCAGAGGTCGGCTTGTTTCTGACTAGCCGCTGTTGTCTACACAACACACTGCAGCTAAAATAAGAATCAGCAAACATTTACAGTGGTCTGCTGTGCGCCAGGCCCTAGGCTGGGGGCTCCATACCCCGAATCTCACTTCATCCTCACAATGATCTGAAGAGAGGAACCTTGGTAGCCATTTAACAGATTGCAAAACTGAGGTTGGGATGGATGAAGAAAGGTTCTCAAGCAAATGACTGAAGAGCGATTCTCATTTACCACCTGTCGATCTCAAGCCCCTGCTCTGGCCCCAACCCCGCACCGCCTCGCCAGCTATATGAACAGGTGAGTTTGGAGGGGTTGGGGGGGGCGGCTTTGCTCCAATTAATAAGTGCCCATGAGTCTTAAGTTTGTCTATATTTATATTCAGGTGAAGGGCCAAAAGTGATTTCTACGACAATGCCAAAGAGACGCTATCTTTTCTCCTGCCTCACCCCTGAAGAAGAGCGATGGACAGAAACGGGGCAAGCTCTGCCACGCTCAGGGGAGCAGAGACCTCCTCGGCCTGCAGCAGCAGAGGGGTTCCGGGGAGCCCTGAGAGAGCAAAGCCCCAGATGAGTCTGCCCGGGCTGTCAAGGCAGCTGTCCCTCAACCCCATGCATTCCCGTGTTGGACTTTTCTGCCAGAGTCAGAATGCAAATTGCATGTTTTTGTAGTTCTGTTTATCACTAGAGTCCCTGTTTGTTTGGACCAGACACATGGCTAGGGCCTTATACTGAAACCAATACCCCAAAGCCGCAAAGCCTGGAATTCCTATTTTCTTTCCTACTCCCGTTGCTACTGGGGGTCTTTTCTCCCGGTCCCCTTTGATCCAGCGACATGTGAGGGGCAGGGAGGAGGCAGGTGACCTTGTCTAACAAGGCGAGGGAGACAGCACACCTGCCCTCCAGATGCTGCGAGCTCTTACAAAAGGTAACAATGTATGTAACAAATTCCCCCCCCCCCAATTACAATGCTCAGAGAGAGTGGGTTCGGGAAATAAATTTAAGAGAGGAGAGTGGCAGATGGGATAGATGGATTCAATTAAGACAAAGAACATCAAACAATTCCAGGGATGCCTCATTCTAATGGAATGTCATTTTCTCCTCATCGCCTCCAGGAAGCTCCCAACAACAGTCTAGGTAGGAAGTAGGCTGCACACACAGCACCTCGACCCCAGCAGGAGCTTAAGATCCTCAGATGAGAGTGCTAATATTACCTCTTCTCTTCTTTTCAATAAGGAGGTAAAAGCGCATGAATCAGACTAAATGAATGCAGGCTGCGTATTAGATGCACATCTCTCCAGAACCAGGTGTTATTCAAATTAAATAGGTATTTTCTACTGCCATCTCTGTGGAACTCATTTCTTTATTTGGTCTATAGAAGAGTCTCCTTTTTAATTAAATCAACCACTGTTATTTTTCTAAGAAAGATGATAAAACAATAAAAATATTTACACTCCTTTTATCTTCCCAAACATTAATCATGAAGGGAAGAAGGTGTTATACCTTTGCTAGACAGTTTTATCACATAGACATTGTACTAATACGCCTTAAATGACTGTTTTGCAGGTCAATTTATACCTATTAAGAATGTATAAAATTCTTGTTGCCACTAACAATATTTGTAACTCTTTATTACCAAAAGGAATTCCAGTCTGCAATAGATTTGCCATACGTATAATTGAGATGTAAGTATAGATGTGTATATAATACTTTATATGCACCATGTTGACCCAAATGCTACTCCCGGCTGACCTCAATTTTCATCTAAAGTCAAGTGTAGAAGTCTAGTAGTCTGATGAGCAATGCTTCTGTCCTTCTCTGGCTCCCAGTGGTATAATTTTAATTGACAGCCATGTTCTCCAGTTACTAAGTCATAGGTGGGTTAGAGTTTCACAAAGTTGGTATTATTATCTCTATAGTCAGTGCATACACTGGGCAAGGCTGAGGGTAGAAACCGCAATTCTACTGCAGAAGTCTAACTGCAGTAATGCATACGCGTTCTGATTATCAGCGAAACAGGCAATGTATCCAACATCTATTTTGTAGAGATGCTAAACCACTTCTAGGTTCCAGCCCCCACTTCACTATGTTACAAACTAAAATGCTCCCAGCTAGAAGGGAATAATATTTAGGCTGTCATATCGGCTTCGGGGTGCTGTGTAGAAATAATCTCTACTTGAGAGACTTGGCTGGGGGCGTAAACTAATATTAAAATACTGGACCACTGCCTTGTTTCTCTGAGACTGAGGTGACCTGACTCCTCAGGATGATAAGCCACCGTTGGTTTTTTGGGTGGTTTAAAATGGCTCCTGAGAGCGGAGAATTTTCTGGAAGCTTACAACCACTGGGCTTGAGTCCCTTCATCACACTACTCTCCACACACCTCAAGGATGGCGGGGTTGTAAGGGCCCCAGTGTGACAGCACCACAATCAGTAAAGACTTGTTTCCAACAGTTAAATCATGACCTTGTCATGGGTGAATTCTTTCCATAAAGTAGTGATTGAGTTCAAATAGCAAAAAAACTTGAGTACCCAGAGGTAAAGGTAAATTATAAAACTCAGCACGTAGGAGATACTAGAGTCAACCGGTCCCACCAAGCTGGCAAGGATGATACACAATTCAGACTCAAATGAGGCTCAAGTGAGGACCAAGGAACAGTGCTCAGACAACGTTGCTTTGTTATCTAATCACTTTATATGCAAACCATTCTGTATTA